CTTAAATACCCCATGATGATGTCACACAGGACGTCCCCTGTGCAGCCTGACACCCCCTTCAGGCAGCACAACCTCTTTGCACATTTTTGCAGTGACTGTCATCATATCTTTGCAGCATTAATTTTAGACCAAAGGAGACCTGAGTAAACAAACAACAAGTAATTTTAATGCTTTTTAGTAACACAAAGAATTTGATATCCAGAGCCTCTGTGGGGAAAAGTAATGTAAAAATAATTGGAACATTACAGTCAGTAACTTGTCGCCTTTTAGTTTTAGTAGACTTTAAACACCTGCTGTCGATAATGATTAGTCTCTCATTACACCCTGGAGTCGTTCTGGCCCGTTGACTTCATGCAGAAATCCAACTCAGGGACACTCAGGGTTTGTCTTGATCTCTTCATTCGATTTCGTTTTGTTTGGACGATATCTGAAGCGTGCTTCCACCTTTATGGAGCCGACTTGCTCATTTCTTGTCAGTCGTCATCTTGCTACTCCACCGATCTGCTCCAAATGTTCTCCTGAAAGATTTTCTGGTACAGAAACAGCATTTGGTTTGCGCCAAACATAATGTTCCCTGTGCTGACTGACAGTTGTCAGGAATTTCATTTAGGTGGGATAAATACCTACAAAGGCTGCATGCAGACATCCTCACTCTGTAACACTGCTGGTCAACCCGTGAAGTGACATAAGTAGTAAGGGGTGTGGACAGGTGGCAGGTCTCCCATACAGGTGAGTTTGCCTCCAAGCTAAATCTGTGCAGATTCTGGGTCGGCCATTTCACCACTCTAGTGTCCTCAGCTTTGAGGAATTTCTTCAGCCGTTTTGCAGTGTGGTGAGGGACATTGTCTTATATAAAAATGACTGGCTGATTGGGTGATGTATACAGACCAACTGTACTCATTCAGAACTCTGGACTGATTCTGGTGCAAACTCTCCTGCCCGAATGTCATTGGAGATGCAGGCGGATCTGACCCAGAATCAGCTGCTATGTGGGATGTCTTTGCATTTCTGTATATCCTACAGGCGACTGAAACCATGACGCTGTCACTGTGCACCAAGGCCAGATGTCACGTTAACCAAATACTTTCCATCATTGACCGAAAATTTGTAATAATGACGGAACAATCTGAAAGCCGTATGTAATTTTGACATATTACTGTGGGTAAGCTGCTGTAATAACTTAAGTACTTTAAGAAATTCACACCCCTGTCCAGTAGGTGGCAGAATTGCATAATACCTGCTGTCTAACGTTTTTTTTATTTTCTGTCTAATGCCTGTTCTGGCCCTGTAAGGTTGGCCAAACAATCCGCCTAGAGCTGACTAATCATAAAAAGGATACAAAGTCCAGTTTACTGAGAGTTATGCTGTGGTTTAATTCCGGCCTTTGCTTTTCATTGCTGATTTCTCTCCGCTGTGTCTTACTCGCGTACTTTTGCTGCTGTTGCAGTGTGAGGTCTCCATGGAGCCCGTGGCTCCTTACTTGTGCAGATATAAAGGTTATGTGTTCGGAGTTTACAGATTTTCTTTGTAATCAGGATCATATGCAGACTACAAGCAGGATGCATCTGTGATAGCTGGATTTTGTGAAACTGCGCTGTAATGGTATTTAAAGCATGATGATGGATTCTGAGTTGTAGATAAACACTCACTGCTTACTGACCATAATTACATTAACATTTTATTTATCTAGTGGACGCTTTTATCCAAAGCAATATAGAGTTGTGGAAGCGCGGTCAGCCAGTCCCCGGGAGTGTTTGGGGTTTAGGGTTTGCTCAAGGGCAAATCACACGGTAGATTATGGGATTTGAAAAGACGACCTTCCCATCACATCTGCACAGGGACAGATTACGGACCGGGCCAGCGGGGCCGCTGCCCAGGGGCCCTTGGGGTGCAGGGGGCCCGTGGGGCCCCTA